TATTATTGGGTTTGTTCAGCATCTGAACCTTTGAGAAATTGGAAATTTCAATAAAGATTTCACAACAGGGTCCATTGATTATAAGAATCCGTGATGATGTGTTGAGGGAGTGCCAACAGAAGGTAGGACAAAAGGCAATACGTCAAGGCACGGAACAACCACAAAAAGGCAGGAAAAAAGCACAAAAAAGCATAGACTTAGACAAGCCAGCTTTGTTGGTACCAGACTGGTCCTCTCCCTCTCCCGGGCATTGGGGACGGGTCAAGTCTGCCCGGGCTTGAAGCCCACCCGAAGTCTTTCCGAATTTCGGGCATAGGGGGAGTGAAGAACGAAGAAGGAGTGAAGCTGTTGGCTTTTTTGCTTCCAGCCTGCAACAGCCTCTGCTGGGAACCAAACGAAGGGCTGTTGGCTAAAGCTCTTTGAAAGGGTGTGAACAATTTGGGGGTTATTGTGTCGTTTCTGTACTGAGTCACAGCGGTGCTCTGTCAATTCTTCCTCTGGACGTAGGGGACTGCACCGGCCTCCCTCTTTGCTTGCTTGCTTGCGGCCTCTCTGTCTTTCTTTCACCAGGGCTAGGGACAAGGGGGAAACCCCCTCTCTTCTTCCACACAGTCAAGAGCACGGCACAGCACCGCACTCTGCGCGCGAACGCGCACTGGTTGCAGAGCTGAAGTTCGGAAACTCGCTCTCTCTCTCCAAGGCATGAGGGCACATCTCTCTCTGTGAAAGCAGCCGGCAGTCCGTGCTCTCTCTGTCCCTCTTCCTCTTCTCTCCCACATGCACGATGTGCACATGGGCGCTCGCACCGGCAGAGTTGGCTTCGATCTGGGATCCCGCGCAATTTCATGATGTCTATCTCACTGCGAATCTCCAAGCGTTTTTGTTTCGCCTTAGCCTCGCAACAACGTCGCAGCAAGGTTGTGGTAAGTTCCCCCACTGTTGAGGGCAGAGATCATGCCGGGCGAGTCCTACTTGGGAGACTGGAGCTACAGTTCGAAGGCACGATGTCAACAGGAGTCAGGAAGCTAGTCAGTAGAGTTTGCGAGGCTTTTCTTGAATCGCGACAGGTGAGACATGTCAGCCCTAGCGGGCGACAAAAGAGTACAGGTAGCTACTTGCCGCCAGCTGCATTATCGGTTCGCCAGGCTGAACATCATGGTAAGACCTGCCAGATCCTCACGCACAGCACTGCTGTCACCACCACCGCCTGCTGCACCCCAGCTGACGACTGATGCGTCATCCAGAACAGCGGCAAAGGCAAAACGTGAGGCTTGTACTTGCTGCACGTGTTTCAACTGCTTGCGAACGGACGTGCTGTCACCTCCGCAGCCCGAGTGGCCCCAAGTCACGACAGACCCATCAGCCAGGATAGCGGCAAAAGCACCAGCACTGGCTTGGATCTGCTGCACATGCTGCAGCTGTTCATGAACATCTTTGCTATCTCCGCCCCGGGCTGGATTGCCCCAGGTCACGACAGAACCATCTGTGCGGACAGCAGCAAAAGCGAACCGTGTAGCCTGAATAGCCTGGACATCCGTCAGCTCAGACTTGACCTCTTCGCTGCACCCTCCATTCTCGGAGTTGCCCCAAGTCACAACGGAACCATCGTGTCTCAGAGCTGCGAATGCAGAAGCAGTCGCCTGAATCTCCCGAACGTCTACCAACTGCCATCGGATCGCACTGCTGTCGGCACCGTATCCATCATGCCCCCAAGTCACTACACTTCCATCCTCCCGCAGAGCGGCAAAGGCAGACTCGCTAGCTTGAATTTGCGTCACGCCACTCAGCTGTTCCAGGACAGACGTGCTGTCACCACCGCGGGTGGGATTCCCCCAGGTCACCACGGAGCCATCCTTAGAGATGGCAGCGAAGGCATTCTGTGCAGCTTGTATTCTCTGGACATCCTTGAGCTGCCCTTGGACCGCCTGGCTGTCGCCGCCATACCCAGCCCAACCCCAAGTCACCACTTCTCCGTTTGCCAGGATGGCAGCAAATGCAGCCTCGCTTGCTTGAATGTCTCGCACATCTTGCAGAAGATCTTGAACCTCACTGCTGTCGCCACCGTAGTCAGCATTTCCCCAAGTTATAACGGACCCATCACGCAGTATCGCAGCGAAGGCTAGGGAAGTCGCTTGGACCTCGCGAACTGGTTTGAGCTGGGACGCGACCTTGCTGCAGTTTCCACCACAGGCCGAATTCCCCCATGTCACGACGGAGCCATCGCCCCGCAGAGCAGCAAAGGCAAATTGGTTCGCTTGAACTTGCTGGACGTTTCGCAAGTCCGCTTTCGCAGAACGACTGTCCCCACCATTCCCCGGGTAGCCCCAGCTGACGATGGTCCCATCAGACAGGATGGCTGCCAACGCGCTGTCGGCCGCCGCCAGGTACACCGGCCGAGTGTGCAAAGTTAGAATATCGCCATTCTGAACACCAGCCTGGACCAAAGTCGTGTCTCCGTGCAGGTCAGCACCACCAGGGCTGAGTAACCTGCCCCGCACCCCAAGTAAAAATTGAGCTCTCCGAGACAGCTCTCCGAGGGGTATATTGCGGACCACCTCCAAGTCCGCTGCTCTCCCACTCATCAGGGCCACGGTTATGCGGATCATGCTAACACCGTTTGCCCGCCGTGTGGTCCTTCCAGGCAGCTTGTGCCACGCTTTGGTGGCCGCTCTCGAAGTTTTAAGCCATCGACAATCTAAACACTGCCATCTTCCCCCCCGCCCCCCATTCTTGCACTCCGTAAAGACAATGCTCGTTCATGACGTGCCTAGTTGCTCTAAGAAGGTACTCAGCCTGAGGTAACCAGTAGCTTAGCAGGGCAGCCAATCGTGCAGAATTGAACTTGAAGGCATGATGGCCTCACATCTGAGCCCTATCAGCAAGGAAGAGAGCTAACCTGTTGATCCCGTTGTGAGAGTTGTGCGAGGCCTTAGCTGCTTAACCCTGAATGTCCTCAGCTACCCAACCCTGGACAACACCAGACATGCTTCACCACCGTTTGCGCATATTCGGGGACATGTGGAGGCGGGGCGTGAAGCACTCTCACCAGATCTGCCTTGGAGACCTTCTTGACAGCATATCTATTCCCGGTCGACAAGCTCTTGGCCTCAGCTACACGGAAACTCTGCAGGCGTGCATAGACCCAAGTTCTCGAGGCCAGCAGCCAGCCTCCACAACGAAGCCAAAGCCTCCTTCACCAAGCTTGTCGGCTTGGAGTCCGTAGAACTTGTTGATGTTTCCTCGGACGTGGGCTGCACTCTTGTCACTTGCAAGTTGGCGGCTTCTTCGAATACAAACATCATTCTCCCGCACCATGATGGTGGCTTGGGCCTCTGCAAAGCTGGCCCGCAAAGAACATGTCCGCTATGACAAAAGCTTTTGAGACATAGATAACTTGGGAGCAAGCTCACCCTCGTGCCCTAGTGCTCGTGATGCTGCGTTGAACACAGATTTTCCTCCGAGCGGCCTGTTGAATGCAGAATCAAGTTGTTGATCCTGACAGGTTTATAGCCGGTGCATGGCAGGTGTTGGGATTGTTCGACGCAGCCAAAATCTACAGCGCAGGGGAAGCTGATGAAGCTGGAGGATTCAGACCGATGTACCACTTTTAGCTGCTCTGTGAGAGACAACATGTCTGGACAGCGGCACTTCTTATCCAGCACTTTACTCAAACGATACAAGCCAGTGGTGACATTTGCCATCACGTTGCTTGTGGGGTCGCTGCAAGCTAAAAATTCAACGCGCACCCTTGGCCGATTCAGCTCATGTTAGTTGGGATACATGGACCAGGTTTCACGAAATATTGACATTGTCGGGTTTGCTGCACACCTAGTTGTGCCCTGTTGTCTTGTCGCTCTTGCAGTTCAGCTTCTTCATCTGCATCGAAGCAAAGCAGGTATCTTCAGAAGACGCGTGAAATTCAAGTCGCCGCGAGATTATAGCGGCAAGTACGTGTCTGCGTCTCTCCGGTTTTGCATTTTGCCACGGCTCTCTGTCTGCAGCTCATTTTTGTATCCAAGGCAAAAGCAGATGATGGATGGCCCATCAAGACAATTTGCACTGCATGACCATGATGGCACCCGCATAACAACATGAATGCGCCACACACCCCTGGAAGTAGCTTCACCCTCGCTGAAGATATAGCCCGTGCCATGCGCACGCCATGTATTGATCCATGTACTCATGTACCGTATGTGAGGACTATGTATGTATGCGACAGAACCCACCGCCCCCACTGCCCACACCGCCCTCCGCCCGCACCCCACTGCCCCCACCACCTTCACGCCGCCTCCGTTGTTCCCCAATGGTCACACGGCCACACCGCCCTCAGCTCACCAGTGCTTCGAGCCCACTTATGCCTTGCCTGCTGGAGAACTCCGTCGAAACGTCCGCCCAGCGAGACCTCGTGCCCTGGGACGGCGTGAACGATGGACATCCAGGACATGAACGAATGATGGACTTTGTGCTGGTGTCTCGTGCGCATTCTAACAACCGTCTGGCGCTTGTGCTTACTGGAGGGCCCTAGCACCGAGAACTTGGCTGAGGCAAGCCGTCCATGACAGTGGCTGTACCAACGCTGTATGTTGCAGCTTTGCAACGGAATGCCGACATGTGCTGGGGGGTGAAGCATGTCCATCTTGAAGCACACGTAAAGCGCATGAAAATAACTTCTACCATCTGAGGCAGCGCACAGCCTCCTCGTCATCGGACGGTTCCGATTGAGACCTTCTGGATTTGGAATCTCGAAAGCAATCATCGTCAGTTGACCGACTTGGGCAACACAGCTTACGCATGCGTGCTCATGCCTACGATGAATGAGAGTGGATGCCTCGCACTCATGAAAGCTGTGCTGCTCTGCGTTCTGAACCAGCAAGAGGTGGGTCAACCCTGCGAACTGGCCCCTGGCCCATCATCAGGTGCAGCAGTCGACTCCCTCCGCGGGGCGGGATTTTTGGTTCCGTTCTGAGCATGTGGAGTGCGGCCCCAAAGAAATACGGCCAGTGCACAGAGCCAGTGCGGATCTCGGCTGATATACAGGACCGTCACCTATGATTACTGGAGTCACATTTGTCCGGGCTTGCTGTGGGGCCTGTAAACTACTTAAGCTCTGATCTCCCAAGTGCAACTCAATACAACAAACTCCCAGCGACATCTCATTTAGATCATGCCTGAAAAACGTCATAGCGAGAGCGAGACAGAGAAAGAAAGGGAGAAAGGAAGAGAGGGAGAGAGGCAGAGAGAGAGAGCGAAAGAGCAAACATCATCCCATTGGCTTCATAGTTCTCCCTGCTCACCTATCGCTGACGGACCGTCCAACGGAATTTAGAAGCACCAAAGACGGAGCGGCAAGCAAGATTCAATGCCAGGCACCTCCAACAGAATCCGAAAATTGAGAGGCTTCTGGCTTCTGGCCCGTGAAGGCGACAATATGTAAACGTGTTCTGGACAGTTCTGGAGGCATACATGTGCATGAATACATATATATATATATACATGTATATACATATATGTGTGTGTGTGTGTACGAATGTATGTATGTATGTATGTATGTATGTATGTATGTATGTATGTATGTGTGTACGTATGTATGTATGTACGTATGTACGTACGTACGTACCTAGGTATGTATGTATGCATGGATGTATGTACGTACGTACGTACGTAGGCATGCATGTATGTATGTATGCATGCATGCATTCATGCATGTATGTATGTATGTATGTATGTATGTATGTATGTATGCATGCGTGTAGACGTGTATATATGCATAAAGTATGTGTGCGTGCATGCATGTGTGTGCACGTTCTTGTGCTGACCAAGTTAATGCTTCTTCCTGCCGCTGCTTATGCTTGTGACTATGCTACTTGTGCCTGCTGATGCTTGCATCTGCCTATGCTCGTTTCGGTTTTCTACTTCCGACCACAATGATAACACCTGGACCATTCGGCTGTTCCGGCGTAGCCAGATTACAGGTGTTCGGCAGCCCCTCAGATTACAGTGAAATTCGTTCGTTGTACTGCAACCCATTGAACGGTGATCATACCATACCATACCGAAAACAGCCTCAAGATATGGTATGTGTTGATTGTTGGGGGGGTCATGCCTGGTCTGCGGCTTGGGCTGGGTCGGCGCCTGCAGAACACAACAGCGAGGATGCCCGGCCATCTATCACTGAGATGATGGATGGGAATGGCATTGCATCGGCAGCCACAGTCACTTCAACCAAAGGAGCAAACCACAAGGCCAGACTGACTGCTGTCATTCTGAATCAGCGAAATCAGGAATCAGCGTGGCACAGTGGTTTTCTTTTTCTTCGGGCCTCGGACCTCGGTTGGAGCAGAACTATCGAGCAGGCCTTCCTTCCTTCATTTCCTTATTGCTCGGTGGTGCCTCTAGAGGGAGCCGAGCAAGTGACGCTGGTCAAACATGCCCCGAGCACACCGGCCAACGTAACTTCCACAGAACACAGCACCACCCTTGCAGTCTTCACATTGCCTCGGCAAACTTCTTGTGCGCCTCGGCAGCACTGATCTTAGTTCTCGTGAAGCTCTGCTAAAAACAGGTAGTATTCCCTTCAGCTCCATTCCGTAAATGGGCGTCCAAGCAGCAAGCGCGAAGTTCTTGCAGCCACTGAGTCACTCTCCTTAATTAAATCCCTTCGGTCTCGCTGAGTCTCGGGCTGAGCCCTGGGACGCGCAGAGCCCCATGAGACACAGAGCAGCCCAAGAGGCGAGCCCGCCAAATTACATGTGCAATCTGTCTCTCCCCTTTTGCTGAGTCGGCGCTGGCACACGGTCTTAGAGTTCATGGCTTCCAAGAGCCACGAGATGAAACTCTGCAAGTCGGTGGACATAGAGTTTTCGCCGCGCATGGAAGGTATTTTCTGCTGTGGGCCTACTGATAACTTGCCTGCCAATGCCTGCGAGGCAGCATAGCGAGAGTCGGCATGAAAAGCCCAGCGCCGTCCGAAGAGTGGATACTACACTCATTGCTACCATGCTGGACGGATGCCAGCTCGAGTTTGTGTAATGCCAGGGACCTTGAACCTTGACCTTGAAACGCAGCAGGAAATAACTCAAGCCGCCCCGTCCCATGACTCAACTCCAACCCAACCTGGTGCGAGAATCATCATCAGGTTCTTTTCGGATCTTTCAGAGCCGAGCCTTAAGCAAAGGAGCAGGGTAAGAACCCCCATTCAGCAGAATGTTGTTGGGACACCGTCGCGGTAGTGTGTCAAGGCAATCTGGTGAGGGCTCTGGGGCACCTGTTGCTCCAAGGGATAACATCGCAGCAGATTTTGTAGTCGCACCATGAAGGTGTCCAAACAAGTGTTAAACTTGGGGCGGACAGCGCGTGCACGGTATGAAAAGCGATCAGGCCCGGAGAGGCAAGCACCATGACACTTGCAGGCCCCGCCATAGCTGAGAGCTCATCTGAAGAATCGTTATTCATGCAGGGTTGTATGGCCTCTCCTGTCGTCACAAACCCGCACCCAAAGGCTTAGAGGCCTTACAGTATCATTGCCGCTTCCTGTCCGGGTCAGGTCTCAGCAGCTGAGACTGCGTGAAAGGACACAGTGTGTTACCACTGCGTCTACTGCATCCGTGATTACAATGCGCAAGACCAAACAACATGTCCTATTTGGCCATACTGATGGATCGGCATTCTGCGGCAGCGGGGCACTTTCGCAAGCCGGAGTTCCAACACACTCTCACTCGTCCAAAAAGCCTTTGCGCTGCCAAGCCTACACCCACTCAGCGTCTCCTGCACCTGGCCGGTGTTATCCAAAGCCTTCCTCAATCATTAGCAGGGTTGCCTTTCCACCGTTCGCAACTTTCGGCCACACAATCTAAGAGATGCATCAGGAATTCATGTCCCAAGCGCTAAGTCTTACGGACGTGGGCCCTTCAAGCTTGTATGCTTCTTTGCGTGTGTGCATTGATTTGTATACATGTGCATGTAACGGGTTCGTGTGGGTCTGTATGTGTGCATGTGCATGCGCCGGTACGTGTTTAGCGTACGTATGTGAATGTGCGTGCCTGTATGTGCACGCTATTTGTGTATGCGGCGTATGTCCGTCTATGCACGTATGTATGTCTGTAGGCATGTCCGTATACATAGATACCTGCATACATACATAAATACATGCATGTATGCTTTCATACCTACCTGCCTACCTACCTACCGACAGACAGACAAACAGAACATAAATACCTCATACGTACAATGCTGGCCTGGTGTCTTTCAACAAAATTCTGTAGAGCGGTAGAAGAGCGCATCCCCCGAGGCTCCTCTTAGCCAGGTTCCGCTTGGCCAGGTCCAGATGACGGAAAAGGCGTTGACCGAAAATGCGTTTGTGTTGCGAGGGCTGCGGGGTTTGTGCCTCCTATTTCGCAAGGGCGAGCGCGCATTGCAGGGTGGTTCGAATCCGGTACCCCTTTCGTGAAACGGCTGTAGCAGCTAGTGATTAAGATTCTGGGGGTCCGCTGTCTCCATCTTTCTCGTTCTCTCTGTCTCGCTCTTCCTCTCTCCCGCTCACGTGAGGGTTGCAACTCCTCCCGATTCCAGAATGCGTGAAGGGCCTTAGCCAGCACAGGATCTTAAGGTGCTGCATCTAGTCATCTTCGCAAGCTTTGAACCCAAATCCTACATCCAGACTCTGTCTAGGTTGGCCAGCGGCTACTAGCAGCTGCACGAGACCAGGAAACAGCCCTCGGGCTCTCGCGCCCTGTGACGGTGATGGCTTTTGAGAGTCTTCTTCCATCCTCTTCCAAGCTGATAGCCAGATCGTTTTCAGGGCGGCACACGCCACCCAAGGTGGTTGCTTTCAGAACAGCATGATAGAAAGTGCCCTTCTGCTTTCTTTTGAAGAGGCTGTGGACGGACTGGATCAAATCTTGTCGTAGTTGGGCAAGCACCCCCAATTATGCCATCATCCTTGCACGATCCTGCATAGCAAGTTTGTGATGTTCGTCATTTGCGGTGCCGAGTCATCCAGCAAAGCTTCGTTGCAATGATGGATACGTGTGGCCTTGCCCTGGCATCGTCACCGACAAACGTGTGTTTTCAGCGGCGGCGGGTTGCTACTAGCCTCTCTGCCATCAGGGAATGTATCCCGCTCTCACCTGTTAAAGCCACTTTCGTGTAGGTGTGACAAATGCTTCCCGCCACTAGAAGCCGTCTCTGTTACTGGCACCACTGCTACCATCAAGCCAATCCCCACAAGTAGCAGGCAACCGTGAACAGGACCAACCACAGCGATTCCATCAAAATAGCATCTAGGCCAAGCAAGCAATCCAGAGGGCCACCACTTAAACTTGTTGGGCCCGGTCCATGCAGCCAGGCTCAAGGCAAACTTAGCCTGACGGCTGGAGAACACGCTACAGGCTCGAAATCATGTTAGTGGTGGAGAAACCTGATTGCAAACTCGACGTGAACCTCTCAGTGCCCAATATTGCCCGCTGGGAAGGCCATCCTCTGCGGAGATCTCTTGTGGCTCGTCAAAAGCGTATCCTCGTTGACACTTACAGGAAGACCTCTTGGCACGTCGTCGTTTACGTTCGTTGCAAGCGGGTTTACGCTGCGACCTCTTCTATGCCCGCAACAAGGACTAAACTGGCTGAGAAAGTCAGATGATGGCACGAGCGGTGAAGCTCGGTGAAGGAAGGGCACCTGGCTCCAGATTGCCCACTGCCCCAGGCTCCTGCACAATTGTCACCATCAGGATCACAATCAGAGAGGCGGTGCAACAAACACGAGAATGGTTAAATTTAAAACTTCAGTCACGGGAAATAGTGGTACTTGTCTGACAAGACAGATGAGGCAAATACTCGTCGGGGCAGTACTGACAATCATGAACTGACGGCCTCAAGTGGTGTTTGTGTCGTAGCATTGAGGGCATCGGACTTTTGGAAGGCAGTGGTAACTTGCAGGCTCACAGCTGGCAGCGAGTCTGTTGAACGTAGCGTGTTGTCTCAGGCCCTGGCCTAGACACCGTGCTCAGAACAACGGGATGGCTGACTCTATTCACTTGACTTCACCCCCTTGCTGCGACCGCAAGCCTCAATACCTTCAACATCCCTCAACCGGAGACCCCAAGCCGCAATACGATGCGCCTCGTCGGGAACATTTGGCAACTCCACAGGAGCTGTACCGTGCGTTCCCTCAACTTCGTTCCTGCGAACCAAGCGAAGTATGTTGAAGGAGCTGGAATCATCATCCGTCGAGGCTTTGTGGCTGAGGTTGCAAGGCTGTTGGCTGCCGCCGCTGAGCAGATGCCCTCTTGAGCAGCGGCTTTATGTGCACGAGTCTATGCTTCATGTTTGCTGCTTGCAAACTCAATGCCTGGTCTGCTCACTGTCAGGCGCACGGAAGCTGGCAGGGGCCCGGTCCCGCCAGCTTTCTGTGCGGCAACCTGGGCCTGTCATGTGAAGTTGAATGTGAGACACGTATTGCACGATCCGTCCAACCACGTGGAACGCACAGGTGCCCCTTCGATTCATATCTTTTTTGCTGAAAACTGATGGGCTCCAAGGAGGGTTCGAGGCCCAACAACCCGGCTTGGCGCCTGTCGCTGGAGCATCTGTTCACCGGCCAGGTTTAGCAAACACCTCAAATTCAAGCCAAACCCAGCGTTTGCATGGGCTTCTGAGCACAAGCTCGCACATGACTGACAGGCAAGCTTCAGCACAGCAAACACCAGTCATCAGGTAAGCTGAAAGGATGAGCGCTACCCTCACTCTGCACTTGCACTTGCATGCTCCAAAACGAGTGGCTCCGTGTCGAAATCTTCATCGATGTCACGGAGGTCCTGGCGAAAGTTGCGAGACTTAGCACAGCATCCACTCTCTGCCCAGCAGAAATGAATGCAGCACATGCAGCGTTGGGTCGCGTCTGTTGCGGAATGGGTTGGTACACTACAGGTTAAGTAGTCTTTGTTTTTGGGAGCCGTGCCATGCAACTACCCAAAGTAGGTTTAGCAAGGAGATGTAGGATGTGGGTATAGGAAGTGTCTTCAAGCTTCACGTCTGCCTCAGGGGTGAACTCCACCTCACCAGGAATGGCCTCACCAGCCAACGTGTCCAATACCTACCCGTCTGCACTCCACTCACTCTGGGGTTTGTACCACGGATCCAACGTTCACAAGCTTGTCAAAGCCACCTCACACGCTTAAGAGAACGCAGGCTAGCATAGGCTGCACGCATCTATGGCCTCTGCCCGATTTGGCTGGGCACTTTTGAGAACATCACATGGGGCATGGAACCACCAAGATTTTGACCAGATCACTACTGTGCTCGATGCACGATACTGACGATACTAACATGGAATGCCAGGTCCACGGCCCAGCGGCTCCTCCTCCAGCTGCGCAAACTCCTCTAAATCCGGGAGGATGACCTGGAAGACCGCAACGTCAGATGGCACCTTGTACAGTCCTCCACCTAAAGCATCCCGGCCTCCGTCCAGGCGTCCAGGTTGAAGAGGCCCATGTGCACCTTGCTTTCGCTACCACGACTACATACAGGTTGAGGCGAACAATCGACGTGCAGGAGGACTATCGGAAATCAAAGCAGGCCCCGGAACTCTTCACTCCCACGCCTCCGGCCATCTGCTGCTTGCTTCGCGTAATTCTGCCTGGGGTGGTGCGCGTACGAAACCGGCGGAGCACTGCACCTCTTGCCTATGACTGGACTTAGGACCCTGCACAGATCTTGCGCAGTGGTGCAGCAAGCTGGGGCATGGAAAGCTCACCTTAGTAAGCTCGCGTCACAAGGATCCGCGAAAGAAAACTGGAAAACTGCTTGCAAAAGTCTCCAGCCGGCACGATCCGCTGGAGGGAGTTGCTGTTTGAAGACGTGGGAATCGATCGAACTCTTCACCTGAGGCCCCCGCCTTTGTGGTCTTGCCGATGCGACAATGCCTCTCCAGCTGCCGCACTTTTGGCTCAGATGCTGCACGCAAGTTTCAGGAAGGGGAACGTGGAACTCTGGTGAGCCAGCCTAGGTCCTGACTTCCGGAAGCCGCCACAGGTAGCACGTTTGACAACCAGAGCCCCCAGTCCCCCACACACCGTCGCCCCCACTTGGCGCACCACCCACCACCCCTCGCATTGCAAGACATTGCAAGTTGCCTTTACCCAGACGGTTTTCTGCCGCAAGCCTGCAGATGCCATGACATCTTCGGCGTTGTGCATTTGGCAATGGCTCTTGGCAGGACCGTGGCTCTCGTACAGAAGCGATTTGCCCTCTGTGCGAGGCTCTGGAGCCATGAAGTCTGTGTGTGAACAGCAGATCCCAGCGTGGCCTCTCGAACTTCGGATTGCCTCCGAAGGACGGCGGCTACACGATCCAGCAGGTGGCCTCGGGAAACTGTGAGGACTCTCAGCCCTTCGCCGGATAGTCAGTTGTTGGCCGCTCTTGCCCCGCCTTCCTCCAGCAAGGATTCGGCGGCCTCACCATCAGAGCTGTTGGAAGTGCTGTGACTTTCCCCCTAAGGCTTGGACGGCTTTTGCATCTACCACAGAATGCCGGAATAACCTGGTGAATGTAGCTTCACTCCTTTGTAGGCGTACTCCAAACAAGCGAAAGGACAGGACAGGACAGGGAGAAAGCCATGGATCTCTCCATTTAGGGACGCCTCTTTGCCCTTCGGCTCGGGGCTTCGGATGATTTCCACGCACAGAGCTGCGACCTGAGCCCGGACGGAGCGGATCAAAACTGAAATCATTTTTGGCGAAGCAGAGAGTGCAGAGGCCAGCTATGGCAGAGAGTCACGACGTCAAAGCTGCTCCCTCCCCTTCCCTCTGGCTGCAATTGCCATGTGCACTAAAGAAGACCTACTGAGGAGCATCATGCCCTCTCAGATCTGAAATCTGCAGTCCAAAAGTTGCCAAATCCACGGTCCAAGCTGGGCAGCCACACGGCGTTCAGCATCACCGCGCCCCAAGACCGGTCGAAGAGGCGGCGCAGGCCCCGCGACAGGACCCGCTCTTCCACAAAGGCCTCCCCAATTGATGCTCGCTTCACTGGGCATCAAACCATTGCCAGCGTCGCGCGAGCGAAAGGGCGTATTCGTTATTTGCCCGCTCTTGCACGTCAAGGTGGTTAGCAAGACAGAAGCAGGGTCTTTCGCATCCACCACCTAGAATCCAGAGTCCATGCACTGATGGGCCATGCTAGGTCGATCGGTCGCTTTTGCTTGCATCGTGGTAGGAAACGCACTGCACACCATCAGGTCCGAAGGTCTCACACCACGACCGACGTGCTGGCACTCAGCCGCTGTCTTGAGAAAGGCCTACAGGCCTGACAAAAGACCATCATATCTTGCCCGGCTACGTGATGTCAGAAACTCACATTATGGTTTTGGTATCGACGAACCGAGGTGGTGGAGCCTGAAGCACCTCGGAGTCTTGTAGACGAGCGAGCTCCACTAGCAGTGACATGGCCTGAGTGCGAACTGGGAAGCTCCCCATAGTGTCAAGAGCAAAGACATGTGGCCAAGCTTTGCGAAGCCGCTGGTGGACAAGTGGAATGTCGATAGCTTGGCTAGCGGCTTCGATGGCCGCCGGTCCATCGGCGACTTTCAACGATCTGCGCGCATTGAAAGACGGATGAGCATCAAGATGTATCAAGATAGACTTCACCATGCCGACGCAGAAACACATGACAAGGGAACATCACCTGAGCACATTTGACAGGACAGTACCCCGAAACACAACTGTTTGACTTGTCTGACCTTGTGCCCCCGAGCAAGCCCTGAAAGCAGTGCTGACATGCCACATAGACATGCAATCCTCAACATCCCATGAAGCGTCCAAAGAAGCAATGCTGTGCACGGCTCCAGTCGTGTCTCGGAGCAGGTTGTCTCCGCGGCCTCTGCGTTGTCTGGCAAAGCCTGCTAGTTTCGGCTTCGTGGGCTGCCTTGGCGATTTACGGACAATCCGCACAACTTGCAGTTACAGCAGCCTCCAACATTCCCCAACGCAGAGGCCCGAACGCGAGCACGGCGAAGATCGGCGATGAGCTGGCTCTTGCCCAAAACCTGCCCGGCTGCAATGACTGCCATGTTGAAAAGTTGCCAAGTCACGCCAAGGTCTGTCTCCCTTTAGAGCAGTTTCAAGATCACACAATTCAAGAGCTGCTCTTCTTGAGTTTGCCGGCAGCACCACAAGAACTACAATACAAGGAAAGAGCTTGGACTGAGAGTTCTTGAGACGCTGAAATGACCTGTCATATGTCGACAGTCTTCCGCATACACTAGTCATGACGCACTGACATCATCAGTGATTTAGCTGCCAAGACACAGACAGTGGTAGGTAGATGGCGGGGCTCGGCCCACCTCCGCGCTCTCGCCGCTGCTACCGTCTCGGAGAGCAAGATGCGCGCTCAGCGTGTCCTGCGCCAGGGGAGAAACATTACCGAACTGCCGCCAGCTTTCTGTCGCCACCGAATTAAACAAGAAGCTCACAACATTAGGTTAAATCTCTAGGTGAATCCTAATGATATCCTGAAATCACTAATAATGACCTACAGATTTCCATTACAAATGACTTGGAAACATGATGATAGAACCACCTAAAAGTCTAAGTCATTTCACATGAGAATCTGTAGGTTACACGGGTTGTTGAAGAGATTCCACAAGAATTAACCTAAGAAATACCATGAACTACCAACTTATAATCCAGGTACAATCATGTGGAAAGTCATAGGCCAGATACAATGATAGGATTCTATAAAGGGAAATGACTTACGAAATGTCATTAACTTTGACCAGAAATTAAAATTTGTCTAATATGGGTCTTGCTGCCATCATTCTGGATATCTCTCGAGTACCGAATGAGAAGGGCAGAGGGAAGGACAGGATTAACAAAGTTACGCCTTTGATTGTCGTCGTCTTCGTGGCGTGCAGTGGCCAGGTCGAAAAAGTGAAGTATGGTAGAGCCATGTAGGGCAGGACTCTGGATGCAGCAGGGGACAACTAGACCCCGATTATCCCGAAAGCAATGAGTTCCGCATTTGCAATATCTGGCCACGTTGTAGGTGCTGTGGTCTTGGCACGCGGCGTAGGTGCTTGTATGTAAGTGCTTGTATGTAAGTGCTGTGTAAGTGCTGTGGTGTAGGTGCTGTGATGTAGGTGCTGTGTAGGTGCTCTTGGTGCGGCATGGGTGCTGTGTAGGTGCTGTGGCTTTGGTGCTGTGTCTATAGGTGCTGTGATGTAGGTGCTGCGTTGGTGCTGCGGTCTTGGTGCAGCATGGGTGCTGTGATGTAGGTGCTGTGTAGATGCTGGGGCTTTGGTGCTGTGTAGGTGCTGTGATGTAGATGCTTTGTAGGTGCTGTGCGGTCTTGGTGCGGCGTAGGTGCTGTGATGTAGGTGCGGCGACATTGAGAATTCGCGCGGCGCCACAGCGAGAGCGCTTCGAAACGCACGATCCGGCGAGAGTTCATCGGCAAGCTTGAAAATCCGAGCGGTGCCACAGCGAGAGTGCTTCGACAGGCATGATTCCGGTGGGTTCATCGGCGAGCTTGAAAATTCGCACCGCGCCACAGCGAGAGCGGTTCATCGCGACGAGCCCCGCCAAACCCACCACAGGCTGAGAAATAGTGTACAAGTAGAATGAAAGGGTGCTCTGGTGCACTTGCTGTAGGAGGTGTGATGTGAGCAGGGCACACGTTATTTTCCCAAGAACCCTTCGAGGTGCTTTCGGGCAGAAAACGCTCAGAAACAAGACATGCAAATTTACGTGATGTTCTGCGTGTCACTACCCCAACACACGACACTTGGAGAGGAGCATGTCGACGTTTCATGATATGAAGCTGATACGTCCTTTTTGTGGCCGTCACTAGCTAACACGCGGGTTCAGAAAACCAAGCGACTTGCGACCGTGGTAGCAGCAAGGTGCTTGCCACATAGACAATTGAACCAAGCTATGAGCAGATACGCGGATTTTTTCCATATGTTCTGGGCAGTTGAAGGGTTGACGATGCTTCTAGCATGTACCTGATGTGACGCGCATGTTCACGAAACTTGCAGTCTCCTCCAGCAGCTTCGATCCCGTGGCCAGCTGCAAGAGCTGGTTCCACAACTCCTGACGAGGCAGTCTGGAAAAATACTGTCGACTTCCCGCAGTGTGTCGAAGGTTTCGTTCAACGAGCGGCGGTGACGGCCATCCTCGTTGCACAGGTCGCTCTCCGCTGCCTGCGGTGGCCGCATGCAGATGCTGCCCTCCACGAATCCAGAAGATAAAGGGATTGCACGAGTCAACGCGAAGTGGTTGACGGACGGTGAGTCCAACAGTCGTGGCCTGTTGAATTCTAACAAAAAGCCCTCGACGAAACTTGAAGCCACCTGCAAACCCCGTCAAGCCGGGAATGCACAGGAGACTGTCTGCGTGTGCCGAAACAGCAGCCTCAAGAAGGAGTACGATGGCTTCTCGAAGACGCTGTCCGTCAAGAAGATGCCTTCGAGACTTACTTTGTTGCTGGTAGTCTTATCATGTCCATGACAAGTACTGTGCCCGTGCGGGAGTCGTACTCTCCGTTGTTAACTTGCAGCAAAGCCCTTCCAAGACCCCTCTCCCCCGTAGACTCGTCCACAGGTCCTCCGCCCGAACATCTATAGCACCATGATTTCCATCGGGTGACCCAAGCACAGTTCTATGACCATCTCTGAAATGGGAACCGTGATGAAAGTGCAAGACGGTCTCTAGCTTGACTTTCATAACTAACTAACCATCCAACTAACTAACTAACGACCCACTGACTGGCTAACCAAACAACCAACTACCCAACCAACCAACCAACTGACTGACTGACTGCCTGCCGGACTCACCGACTGATTTACTGGCCAACTAACTAACCAAATAAATAAATCCACAAATAAATAAATAAATAAATAACAAAGTAGCTAACTAACTAACTCACTGACCAGCTAGCCAGTTAACATCAGTTAACTAACTACCTAGCTACCTGCCTACCTACCTAACTAACCAACTAACTAGCTAACTAACTAACTAACTAACTAACTAACTAGCTAACTGACTAACTAGCCAACCAACCAACTAACTAACGAACGAACTAAACTAACTAAGTAGCTGTCTAGCTGGCTAACCAACTAACCAACCGACCTATCCTAACCCAACCTAGCCCAGCCCAACCCAGCCTAGCCTAGCCTCGCCTTACCCAACCTGACTAAAACATGATGGACTTACTGACTGACTAACGAACTAACTAAGGGATCGACTAACCCACTATCTAGCTACAAGTATTGCAAGTAGCAAACAACAACCATGGCTAGGCTGCTGGCTTGAGCTCTGGTAAAAGTGCTTCCACTTCTACTGGTAGTGCTGCTTTTGTCGATGTTGCTTGTTAGACTTGTCCTCCTCCTAGGATTGCTGCACGCATGTCAGGACAAACGCCACGGCAGGACCAATGACGAGGACGACGATGAGGACAACATGTACACTACTCACTACTCCACCACCACCGCCATCACCAACAACAGCAAACCAACACCAGCACCACCTTCTGTTCTTCTGCCTGGACTGTTTTTCATGACAACTTTCTCCGCTGTAACCATGCCTCGCACGCTTATGAACCCGAAACAGCAGGGTTCAGAAAAGCATCTTTCCAACAGTTTTCACGGGCACGACTGCTGCCCTTTGCCGCCTTCGAACTACTGTTGGCCATTGCTGCCGGCAGCCCAGCACAACCAGCCAAGCGCAACCCAGTCCACAAGATTTGGCTTTCCTGGCCTTCAAAACCATTGGCGAGGCCTCCATTTGAGAAAAATCCTAATCCGAGCAGTTGAAACAAGGAGGACACTGGCAAGGCCTCAGCTCGTAGGAAAAATCCGGAATCTGACCCCCCGAAGAGCAAGCTAAACGAGGATGCTCTGAGAAGAGAGGAATTGAACCACGCACCTTTGGCTTACTACAGCAGCCGCTAGCCGCTAAGCCACTAGGCTATGGAGCTTCGCTGGCCTGCCCGCGGAGACCTCTGCCCTACCGAAAATCCGTAAGCATAATCATAGCATAATCTAAGCCTACTGTGTGGCTACGCCAGGGACGAACAGATTTTGCAAGCAGTCGCAACACAAGAAAGTAGAGCTGAGCCCAGAACTGCTCGGCACTGGGCGAGCCCTCACCCTCTTCCTGCAGGACACTAGGACCACCCCATTCGTTTTCAAAAGCGAGGCATGTGCAACCTGTCCTTCGAAGCTCCCAGAAAACTGTCGCCTCAGTTACCGCTCAATAGATGGGCAAAGAAATACAGTCGCAGGGTCGCCCCCATGGGTCCTACTGAACACGGCAGAACAGGCGCTGTTGAAGAACTATCCCTTCAGACATGTCGCATTGCAGCAACCCGACTAAACATGCAACGACTCACAGACGGAAACTCGTATGCATGGAGATGATGTATGGAATCAGCACTCGGAAAGCTGGGCGAAGTACACAGGGCAGGCAAGTGCTGGCAAATGTGCTGGACCTGCCATGAGGCAAACTCAAACGAAAAGGCCACCATCTCGGCAGTGGCGTTTCGGACGTTCTCTCAGACCGCAGAAGATTCGATGCCCAGAGTTGTATGAGAGTTGTCATGATCACTTTGAGCCTCTGGCGCGTGTATTTGCATTAAACCCTTCGAAACTGGGCGGATCGGCAAGGGCAATGCCGGCGGCACGCCGTGAGTCTTGGTAGAACTGCGCTCTCCCAATTCAGGCACGAGACGTGCAAGCCGAACCCAGGACAGGCTTGTCCTAAAGACTCTGCATGAATTCTGAGCAACAACTGATAAACTATAACTAGGGCGGATGAGGGGGAACGTGCACACACTCCGAGCTGCACTTGATGAGTCCGAGGCCGCCACCATCACCATCGGCCTCGGTCTCTTGTCCGTGGCTCTCCTCCTTCACACACATACACACATGCGAATTGATGCGAACCGCGCAAGTCTCTCCACCAATACTGCATGCTTGCTGTACCAAGCTTTCAACAGAACTGCCAGCTTTGTGCATCACACCGCACTTCTGAGATGTGCGTCGCCAACACATTCAATAAATTACCCAGCTATGCACAACACCACAAGTCTCTCCTCCTCGAAGGGTTGCAGCAGGTTCGGTCCACGGCTGGCCAGCGCTGGGTTGGGCCTCTTACATATTCAAAAGAAGACCCGCTCCCAAGCAGAGGATCATGGAGCCAGTTCGTGGTGGAGGGTGTGTTGAGCTCGGTGTCACCCCGTTGTGCAAACTCGGGTAGAGGTATTAGCGATAAGAGGCTAAACAGACCAAACGGACATAATCTGAACAAGATGACAGAGAAAGTACATTGTAAAGGCGAGGTCCAGGCAATACGATGAGCAACAAAAGGAGGCAAGGTCAAGCATAAGGCAAATCACTGCAATGCCGAGGAGGCGCCTCATGGAACGGCACAGATACATAGACGGGGCAGCAGATGGGAACAAAGGCAGATGGATAAACCGATGGATAACAGATAGACAAGCAAGGCAGCTGAGAGACTACTGTAAGGAGATGTAACTAACTCCTTTCGAACACAGGCCTCTGTTGAGCAAGGGAGTTTTGCAGCTTCCAGCTTCCGGCTGTGGCCCGAGCGTGACGTGAAGAATCTGCGAGACTGCTCCAACCAGAACTGATGCCTTGGGCCATGCGCGCTCAGTGCTTCTCTTCTCCTTCACCACAAAAGCCATGCAAAGCGAATGAAGCGCAACTCTCAAGACCGAATGGTTGCCCAGACCGTCTGGTTCCACTGCCATGAGAACGGAAGTCAAGTTTCATCCGGCTGCGAGAAAAGATCAGCTTATTGGCAAGCGGAGGTGCTTAAGCAGACGTTTAAGCAATGCGAGGTTATCCTCAACTCCCTGCGACATCATGAAAGAGTGACTCCCGTCGGCAAGAATTTGTCTCGAACCTCCGAATTGGCTTCATCTGAGTGGCTGCAGCTTTCGCCATAGAAGCCAGCTCAGCAGACTCCACGCACGCCTGGGGAAAGCAGGTGGTGTCGCACATACGCATCCCCCATCCTTGACCATAGGAAGTATCCCACAGAGATATACCCCGCAGCAGAAAGACGAGGAGTGGGCGGGTAGCGGGGGAGGGGCTCAACAAAATTACCCGCAGAGGTGACCCGAGGAGAAGTATGCCGGCAGAAGAAATAAGCGGCGGGAGGGTGCGGGTCGTAGGGAGGTATCCAACGCGGCGCGGCTGGCTCAGGAGGCCTGATGAGCGACTACCACAGGAGGTACCCCGCAGTGAGGGGGCAGGTCGGTGGGAGGTCTCCAATGCATGCGAAGCGAGCCTGTCAGGACGACTACCTCCAAAGGAGGTATCCTACGCGGTGCGCATGACGACTATAATCGCTGCCCGCTACCATTAAACCGCCTTGTAATGGATTAACGCACAGAATGGCTCGTTGCGCGGATGCCGTGATTCAAATTGGAGTGGTCATATCAATGGTCACCACGGTTGAGAGTATTTCCGCAACAGCGGTACCGTCCAAAGTACTATCAAAGTTCTGCTGTAGGAGCACTCGCAGCTTTGTCAAGACTGCAGGAACTGGCGGGAGAGCCGGGACTGCAAAGGAACTGCTAGCTGCAAGAGCTGCGGGAACGTTGTTCTGGAGTCATGGTGAACGGTGCAAGAAGGCAGAGGAACGGAGCACTGCAAGGGCTGCAGGCCGCGACGGTCAAAGAACCGGGCGAAAATCGATTCCGATGTTGGGGTGGTGTTTAATATGGGGGGCAAGAAGTGATTACCCCCAGGAGGAAACTGCAGAGGTAACCCCCACTGTAAGTTGGGAACAACACGAGTACAGATCAACTCATGACGACCATCTCAAGAACCACCCCGCCTTGAAGGTACCCTGTGAGAGAAGAAAAGAGCGGCGGGGTGGGCCCGCATTAAAGCACATAAAGACAGCGGCGACTCCGAGGGGAGCGACACCACCTCCAGAACACCCTGCGGAGGTAACCTAGAGGTGGGGGGGTCGGCTGGGCGGTACCCAATGCACGAACCCGATGGGGCCTTGCTCATAAGACGCTCCACCACGATAGGCGAAGACCTGGAATGACAGCTCATCTCCGCAAACAAGCTACATTGAGGCTCAGAGGTGAATGCTGGAGACCTACCACACAGGATACACTCGACGCAGAAGCACCGCACATTTGATCAACAACCGCCGAGGCGAAGTAAAGCTTCTTGGCGCATGCCTGCAACGCGCAACCACTGGTCATCGCAGTGAATCTACCATTGCAGAACTAGCCTCCTACTGTACGAGTAGCATGCAGCTTCCAGGTGCGGGCATAGCGGCATGGCTGCTACTGTACAAAGGTTACAAAGCCTACAACAAGCAGCAACCCTTTCAAAGCATCTTCGGTGCCACTTCAGTTTCCTCAATACTGTGCGTAGATTCGCACAGATGCTCATGGGCCGGCTTTGGCACTGTCGGACTATACAACACTCAACATATCTGGTGATACATCGCCTCAGCCTGCCTGAGTTATCAACGTCTTGAGGACGAGGGAAACGTTCTCGTTCGGGTCTTCGCTAGGAGGGGCGTCACCTGCTTCAAGATGATACGGTGTGAAGACACACGTCGGTGTTGGACCCGCGTCAAGAGGCAGGACCGCAGGTGCCTGACAAATGCTCGACCAGGCGGAGGATCAGCCCGTCCGCTTCGAAGAGACCGTGCTCTGGGTCCTCGGCCGTGGGTTCAAACACCGTTTCAGCATGCCGTTCATATCCAACCATCCGGCTGCCCAAGGTCATTGCTGGGGCGCACAGCAGCGTGGCAAAAAGCTCTGCTATGCACCTGGCGGCAGGCATGATGTAATTGGTGGCAGGTCAGAGGCACACAAGGAGAGGTGTGCGACAGTGCGATGAGCTGAGGCATTGACACGGGCGACTGCCGCGATTTAGATTCATGCTGTTCAAACAGCCGATGCACCTAACTCGCCTCGGCCGCGGACGAAGCGGTCAGAAGTTTCTTTCCCCTCCGAGAACCTCTTCCCCTTCTCTTAATCCCCTCCTCGACCCGCGGCTGTTTTTAAGTGGCCACTGATCCCCCTCCTCCAAGAAATCTCTGATTTTGGCTTGCAAGCCCGCAAAATTTCTGATGGTGGAGAGTGAGCCTCATGAGCCCTGATTTGCTCAAAAGTCTAGGCAAACTGCAAAGGGCTTGCAATTCTGCTCATGCAACGTGTCGCCTGCACGCATGACCACACACTGCACGAAGAATGTTGTATGGATCTTGTCCTGCTTCTGCATCGAAGAGAAGCAGGGTGTTCAGTGTCCGGGCGTGGCTACCGCCGCAAGCAACGCTTGGCAGCTGCACAGATCTGCGAAGCAAATATGAGCGAATTGCCTCGAACTGACTGCTAACGCCCACCCACACCTGGCCCCTGACTCAGGGAGGAGGCTGCCTCGTTCCCAGGAACCGAAGAAAGCACTCCAGCACCTGCCCGGGAGCTGCTGGAAGTCATTCAGTCGAAGGCCGGACTCGTCTGAGGATGCTCTCTCGTGCAGCGGTGCTTTGACGGAACCGTCCGACTGATCTTGCATCTTTGCTATGTTCTCCCTCTCTCTCTCTCTCTTCACTTCAGTCCGGGGTTCGGGGAGCGAGTCAGGTTCCCCGCGCCGAAAGGCGCGCCCCTGTTGTGGGTCTCTCTCTCTCTCTCTCTCTCTCTCTGCCGTTGCATGCACCGAAGATGCCGGAAGAAACAATCCAAGAAAGGACCCTTTCCCAAGGGAAAACTCCCAGGCCTGATCTGGCCCACGCTGGCGCAAGTACTCGAGGACCTTCGATCGATGTCAGCAACGGATCACGAAGCTTGTAGCCAAGAGTGCGCAAAGTTATATACGAGTCGCGCCTGCTCCGGGCATCGATGGTACAAAGCCGAGGCGGTGTGGCAGAAGTACCCAGCCAAGACCTCGTGCAGGTGCTGCAAGCGAGTGTTGCAAGAGGGAGTTCCGTCACTGCTACCACTGAAAGACCCCACATTCAGTGCCGAGCACGGCAAACCCCCTTCGACCATCCCTCACACAACATATACACGCCCACTCATCTCCCTGCAGCGCGCCGTCCAGCTTGACCTTCTGGGATCCAGCTCGGCATCCAACAGGAAGCTCCACCTCGCAGCTGTAGCTCCAAAAACGGCTACTTTAACTAACTCCAGCTTTCGATTTTGTGAGGAAGCGGCAAAGCTTCGAGCGGATTTGCGGCCGTGCCGTTCACCTCGAACGGAACATTGCTGATCTGCTTTGGGATTTTGCCAGTGGAACATGCAAGCTGGGCAACAGCAATCACCCTGGCTGGAAACACCTTTGCCAACACTCAGCCCCCGAGAGCTGAGCCCGAATCTTAGCATGGTTTCACTGGTTGCTAGCATTCAGAGACACCCAAGCGCCCTCTCATTCCGGGCAGGTCAGGCAGGTCAGGCTATCAAGCAAAAGAAATGTCAAAAGTAGATCTCCGTCTGTAGAACCGCTCTGCCGAGTGCCCGGCAAAGAAGGCTTGGGACAAGCGGAATTTGCAGGGCTCGTCCTGGGCACCCTCTCGGCGAGGGCCATGCCATGACAACAACCAAACACAAGAGTCCAACATGTCCCCCATCCAAACCCCACCACAAGAAATTTGAAGCGGAAGCCTCAGCACCCGGACTCGGGCTGCACAAGGACAGCAACTCCGCAGCCTTCACAAGGTGGAGGCTCGAGGGTTTCTTCGGGACTCTGACTTTTGAGTGTTAAAGCCTGGTTCAAGCGAACGAGGTTCGTCACAACTGACCCACAAATCACAGCGCGTGGCGCTCTTGTTTTTTCGTCAACTCTTGAAAAGACTCTGCAGCTGCTTCAGCCACACAAGCTTGTGGCCCATCGTTTTAATGTCGAGCGCTGTCCAGAACTCTGTCTCCACGTGGCTCAATTGCAGCTTCTGCTCCTGCCAGTTGCACAACTCCTGCGCGCATTCCTTGAACTCCTCCATGTCACTGAACTGCTCCTGCAGCTTCTGCAAGTAGAGATCTGCGAATTTGCCTTTTCCGTCATCGAAGCCATTTAACCATTGCTCGAATTGCGGCGTGGATGCCAATAAACTTGCTGGCTTTGCAGGGGGAGACGTGCTTGTGGCCTTGGCAGGGCGCATAGGCTCTGCAGGAGGAGACGTGATCGTGGACTTGTGAGGGGTTGTGTCCTCATGCATTTCCAGGTCCACCACAAACGTCTCGGTGGCTTTCCCTGCTGGCTTGTTGTTTGCATTGGTATTTGCCTCATTCTTCTGGCCAACCTTCGGCATTGCCTTCGACTTTGGTTTGACTGGTTGCTCGGGTTGCTTGCGCTTAGTCGTCTGACGCTGTGACAGAGGAACCTGGGCCTGCGCGTTTCTCTCGAACTCTTCGATCAACGTTCGAGGCACCTTGCTTTCTGGCTTCTCGTCGGTGTGCTCTCTCTCTCGCTTGGGAGGTGAGCATGCGGCTGCTGAGGCTGGAGGTGGCTGAACTGTAGCACTTGGCATTGCGCTTTGGGCCGGAACCGGGGTCGTCTGCTTGAGAGCTCTTCTGGACACTGCCTGGATGCCGGTCTCGCAGGCACGAAACTCGTTGAAAGCAATGTATTCCGTGATGAATGCTGCGATGCTGGCATTGCGCCTCCAATTCGATCGCACTTGAACATGTACTGATTCAGCTGCCTGCTTTAGCAACTCTCCGAGCTGGTCGCCGATTGCAGGCAGGAGATTGTTCCACGGGAGCCAGCTACTCTTGTCCGGAAACTGGATCCAAGCCAGGTGCAGCGTTTGAAGAACTTGACCACTGATAAATAGAAGCTGCTGCATCTGCGGATTACCCAACATAATCGGCAGCTTCCAAAGAGTTTTGAAGAGAGCATCCTGTTCAAAGTCCCCAAGGGTGTGTGCAAGCCTTTTCCGTGCCCACAACCGGATCATCAGGCAGATTGCCTTTGCACGGGTTTCGAAGTTGGCTTCCTTCACTTCAAAGGAAACCACTTTCGAAGTCAAGACTTTGATCACCGTTTTGCCGACATCGGCGCGCTCTTGCAAAGCACTGAGGATCACAGTGACCATTTGAGGAAAGTCATCCTGCGACGGAAGCTGCAGCTCTTGCTGAGTCGTTGCAAGCACCTCCCATGCTTCGTCGCGATCTGGCTCCCTGTTCGGTACAACTTGGATGCCAATTTTCTCGGCCCACATCGCATAACCCCAGGCTTGATAGGTGCCATGATTGAACTGCACGGCCGCCCTCCAAATCACCTGGGACTGCAGGGTGGCGATGGCTTGGGCGAGAAGATGCTGGCCCTGCGGCCCTCGCTCATGTCCGGCGGCCAGAATCATCCGATCCTCCACTATGGTCAAGGTCAGGCCTGTTGTGCTTTTGACGGATTCAATGAGGTTCTGCCTCTCTGCGCCGTGGGGAATCTTGTCGAGCAATGGCTTAGGCACGGTCAGGATGGTGCGGTCCGGCGTAGCCCGCAATCCGTCGGCCTCGTCACCTGCTCGATGTACAAACGCCTCCACGTCCGACAGTTGCACTCGTTCTCCCGCAACCCAGACTTCCGATGGTAAGTACTTGGCTTGTGGCTCTGATGACACGATGCACAGGTCGGCTCCCCGACTTCTGCTGACGATCATCCTCTTCTCACGCCGAAGGTGCGAGCTTTGCCGCGGCAGCACTTCGATTCGTCGCACAAGCCCCTTGCGCAGGCGGTCCAAGTTGCGCAACACGAAGCAGGCTGGCTGGAAGTAATCGTTCTTCGCTGCACGAAGAGCATCCCACACAAACTGCTCGGGTTCGTGATCGTATTGGACCTTCGTTTCGGCGCATGTCAGTATTCGACATGCCTTTCGCAACTCCCCTCGCTCACAGTTCAGGGAACGCTGGTGTCGGAAGGCAGCAAGGATCTCATCGCTGGAGGCAGACCTGTCCACAGCCAATATGTCGTAGTGGCTGGCTGGTAGCATGCTTGACCACGTGTCCAAGACCTGCAAAGAAGTGCTGCCTTTGAAGATGGTTTCTTGCCATCCTTGAAGCATGGCGAAAGCCTCCTTTTGGAAACCAAGGATCGCACGCAGATCCGCCACCTGCACTTGGTGTGGGTGCTTGGACGCCTTGTGAGTGCAGCCTTTGGGCCTGCTGAACCTTAGCTCACAGCCTCTGCACCGCAGACCATTAAGGCTAAGAGCCAAAGACGCAGCTTCTGGTGTACCGAAGCGAAGAATTACTTGGCCATGGTCGAATCGGCACTCTTTGATGGGATCGTCCTCTGGTTTGACATCCTCCTGCTCTATACCCGCTTCGCCAAGACTAGACCACCATGCAGCATTCAGAAACTCGCGCAAGTATGGTTCGTCTTTGCTGAGCTCCGGGAAGCCCAAGAGCTCTATGTCGTAGGCGCTCGCATGGCTCATTGCCGTCATGGCTCATGGTATCTTGTGCCATCGGGCTTGGGTTTTTGAAGGGTTGCACGGGGTCGGTGCATGCAAGCAGGCTTGAGATGTGTTGAGTGAATTACATCAACGGGCTATGGTGCCCCATCGGCTGGGCATTGAAGACTTGAGCCGTGACAACGACTATGTTCCCTGCGGTCTCTCCGAACCTTAAGGCCGAACAGCTGCAATCTGCTGGGCTGCGGGCTGTATGGCTGCGCAGCCGCGCCTTGTCCGGTGGCACGCCTGGCGGTGCACGCTTCAGCTCACACTTGCATCTTGACTGAAACTTGAAGTCATTTCAGCTCCTCCGTCTTGTTCTGGACAGACTGGACAGGTAGAAGATGGATCAAGACAGTCCAAGTTAACGCCACCACAGGGTACACATGGCTCCCCGCGTTTTTTCACGCACAAGAACTGGAGCAAATGACTCTGCGTTGGCCTTCTGAAGGTTGCTTGGTAGCATGATTCACCTCGGAAGATCGATCGATCTCTCTCTCTCTCTCTCTTTTTCTTTCCTCAGGGCTGTGGTGGGGAGTTGCCTCTCTCTCTCTCGCTCTCTCTCTCCCGATCGCTAACATAAAGAGTCTCAAAGAAAGTCGCTGCAACAAGAAACGCTGCATGCATTCAGGCCGAAGCCAGCACGCACACGCTCTGCGGGGTGCAGAGGCGGTCGATGAGCGTCGGGCTCCCGCTGCGATATTCCTCGCGCCAAGCGCTCGCAGATTTGGGCCTTTAAGCGGAGGCTGCAGACCGAGGCTGGCCTGGAGGAGCGACTCCCCCTGGTCCAGGAGCTCCTCCAAGCTGCCCACCTCCTAGCCAGGCGGAAGCGGAGGGACGGAGGGACGGGACGATGTGATTCTCCGGTTCTTGAAAAGGTCGTGCCTCCACCTCGCGGGCCAGGGGTGGCGGAGGAGGCGGCTCGATCAGCAACGGCACCTCGTCCTTGGACATCTAGCAGGATGGTCGGTTTTTGGGTCGGCAAAGATGCAGGCCGCAACTACTGCGAATGGAAAGCGTCCAAAGTCATAGTGACACGAAAGAAGTGCAAACAGGTTCATATCTTGAATACTGCGGAAAAGATCGAATAAGTAAGTGACCCCTCAACAGGTTGGAAACAAGGTGCCACTTGTCGTTGAGGCCAGCAAGTAGCTGGAACATGTCGTCCGAAAAGGTTTAGGTCGGTAGCCCGATTCCGGCCACGAAGACGGAGATTTAGGACCCCCTCTCTCTTGCAACCTTCGGTTTTCGTCGCTTTTTCCGACCTTTCCGGCGTCACCTTACACGTATAGTCGGAAGACAGGTTGAGGCAAGCCTTCCCCTTTGCTACTTGCGTTGCTATCAGTCGTGCCCTATGGTATCTTTGGCGGGGTGTAACTGCAGGATGGAACAATCAGTGCCGCCCGAGGCTCGAAGCTCTCATCCCGGAATGTCTCCCAACCGGCTGCGCCCTCGCGAGTTGAACGATGAGCATTGACTTCCAATGCAAGGGAGTCCATCCGACTAGTGCTGCAGTCGCCTTATACCGACCTATCAACCCTCATCGCAACTGCATGACTCTCCCTGAGGCTGGGCTCGCAGCTGCAACTTACACCCAACCCGCAGCATTGCAGCACTGCAATGCTCTGCCGCCCTTCGAAAGATATTTGCTTGACACAGCTGAGCTGCACTTCAGAGATGCTACATCTCTCAGAGAACTGCCCTGCGACCTCAGCCATGAAGTCTTCTCAGTTCCATGGCGCCTCGCAGGAAAATCTCATCTCATCATCCCTGACTCTCCCAGCCAGGCCCTCGAGCTCCCGCCCGGCGCCTTGAAGTCCCGAGCCGGAAAGCAGCTGCGTTGAGGATTCTCGGCGCAAGCCCGAGCCATGGCGCAAAAACCAGCAAACAGCGACCGGAGATGTGCGTGATTATCGCAGCGCGCGATGTGCGCTGTGTTCTGCCCATGGTCCGAGGCACTAAGCTTTGCAGGCTTGCGAGAATCTGCGAGTGAGACCTGCGGACAGCGCCGACAGCACACCATCCACAGAGTGCAGGCTAAGCCAAGCATTCGGGCCCTGGGCCTTACGACTTCAAAATGTCGATCACAAAAAATCGCATGTCCGGCTCATGACATCGAACCATTGAGCAAACGCTGTGGGCATATACACAGCATGCATACGTATATATGTACGTACATCCGTGCACCGTTGCAAACATCAGCATGGCCAGTGACACCGCGCTCGCCATGCAATAGCCTGAAACTTCATCCGATTTCTCTTTTATGGGCATGCACTTGCAATCTCCTCATCGGAGCTCGGCTCGGCCGGTCGAAGATATGTCTCGGAACCTGTCAGACCGGCAGGGTCGTCAGAGAAGTGGATCATCAGAGTCACTAGAGTTTCTGTGCAGCTCTGCTTCTGTTGGCAGTCCCTGGGGCCTTCTCTACAGGGAGACAGCACAAGACTGTGGGCGCATCGAGTCTGACTGCCGCGCGTCGGCTTCTGGAACTAGTTTGGCACGAGCGTGACTTTGCGATGTAGCAATGTAGTGTTTTGCGGGCTTCAAGACTCATGAGCCCATCGTGAAACCATTTCACCCAAGACATCTCTAAAAGAGCTTGGGTACTTGAACGGCCGATTCACTTTAGATGTTGCTACTGGCAGACAATGACTTTAAGAAATCTGCAGAACCCAGCTTTGCTCACGAATGTCTAAGGCCGCATGCCACCCAAACACTTGGGAAGCAGGGTCTGCGAATGCGAAGGCTGCAGCTGGCAATCAAGTCAGAACCTCCCCTTCTGCTTGAATCCGGCCAAGAGGTGCCTTGAACCTGAACATGTTGGACAACTGCTCTGTCGAAGCACGACTGCAGAGCGGAAGCATCATGACAAAGATCAGCACCCCCGCTGACGAGACAGTGACATAGAGACAGAGAGAAAAGGAGAGGCAAACGAAAAGATATACAGACTGACAGAAAAACTGGAAGAGAGAGAAAGAGAGAGCGACAGGGAGAGAAAGACAGAGAGAGAGAGAGAGAGCGAGCCTACCGAAGTCAAAAAGGAGCCCCCAATTCCGGCTTCTCTCCCTCAGCCGAGATCCAGTCACTTGAGGTAGCATCTGGATCAGGTTCATCCGCTTTCCGGAAGGATCTTCTGCCTTGAGCAGGCTATTTGCATCCGGATGACGCTGCGAAAGCGCAGCTTTGCCCGCGATTAGAATGCTCTTTTGTCCAGAAACGTGCCTGAGCTTTCTGCCAAAATGCCTGCCAAGGCTGGACTTCTTTGATTGGCATCAATCAGACAAACGCGGTGCAGTGCTGCAAAGCATGGTTCTTCAGAAACCATCGTCAGCCTGTGCCAGCTTGGAAGCGTCTGGTCGCATGATTAAATGTTGTATTGGCAGAAATCAACATCAAGGCCCAACTACTCTTCGCGTTTCCCACCCTCCATAACGAAGTCTGTTATATACATATATATATATATATATATATGTGTGTATGTGTGTGTGCGTCTCTCTATATTATATACATATGTATGTATGTATGTATGTATGTATGCATGCATGCATGCATGATTGGATGTATGGATGTATGGATGTATGTATGCATGTATGTACGTAGGTATGTATGTATGTATGTATGTATGTATGTATGTATGCATGTGTATGTATGTCATGCTGACTGAGCTCTGGACACCTGAACCCGATCCCAGCCCGAGGATCCAAATGCGCCTCCAGCACATCCCCGTTGTCCGAGCACTCTGGGCAAACCAGTGTGCCCCAACCTCGCGCGGACTTGAAGAGAAATTCCGCTACCTGTCCAACCATCCATCCATCTACCAAAACATGCACGCATGCATGTATGTATGTTTGTTTGTATGATGTACATACGTGAGTGTGTGTGTATATATATATACTAACATATCTGTGAATGGCTTCGGAAAGCAGGTTAGGGGAGACATGCGGCCATGACGTTGCTACACGACTTGAAATCAATACACATCACTGCGTTTTCTCATACGTCAGGGCAGTCTTTACGCCTGTTGATCCTCTTCAGTCGAGGCGGCCGCAACAAAAGCAAGCTAGACTGCAATTTCTGCGCCTGTTTGCTTATGATGCTCTGCCGAACACTGAACTTTCATTTGGCTGGGTCTGCAGCTCACTCTGTACACCTATCCAAAGCTCCAGGCTCAAAGTTGTCCGCCGACTCACTAAGCTGTTTCAAGAGATGCTGCTGGGAGGCCGCCGCGACGATCGCGGCCGCATCCTTGACAAGGCCCACTGACCTCCACTCTGCCCGAGCAATTTCGCTACAGAAGAAACAAGAAGGATGCAGGCTGAAGGAAGGCATGGCGCCATTGCCAGATCACTGGAACGCCCGGACACAAGAGGTGTCCGCGGCCTGCGGCTCTGCTACGTCTGCCTGCGCACAGGGTTCTCTCCCGAGTAAGCTACTCCATCAAGTGCACTGTTTTGTTTGTGTCAGCTGGTCATGTACGATCTTGCGGCATGGGATAGCTGCCGACCGACTCGAAACCCACGATGTGCTTGAGGACATGTTTGGCATTTTTCGGCGCCACGCACTACCTCTCTCCATGGGTGAGATATGCGCACATGTCTTCGAGAAGGCAAGGGGGGACCTCCACGACCTGCTTGCGGCAAGGCACGTCTTTGAAGAGCTCAGGAACCTCCTGGCGAGAGGCATTCTTTGTCCCCCTCCTATACACGAGCGGGTATGGGGAGTAACGGGAACCGCTTTTGGGAGCAACGGAACCGTTCCCGCACATTGTAACCGAAACCCGCGGCCGTGGTAACAGAAACCCATCGGCCGTTGCAACAGGATCACCACCGGCACCGGAACTGCCAACCGAAACCAGCAAGGCCGGGCAGGAGGCTGTTATGCTCGCAAAATCGCGGCGGACGCCCACCGGGAGGCCTGAAGAAGAGAAGACAGAAATAAAGATATCGATGCGTTGGGACAGAGAATCGTAAGAGCATGTGCACGTGCTGTAGTTTCATAGGTTCAAAGTATGAAAGATTGAAATCATTGCCGATACCACAATCCATTTGTCTTCAGGTGTGCGTGGTTGTTTGTCAGGAAGGTGACGTCCCTTTTTTTTGCACCTGGTTTGCAGCGACTCAACCAGGACAGAAAGGTAAAGTCCCTTAACCCCTAAGCCCTAATCCGGATAAACCCTGACACAGTAATTAAGCTAGTTTGGTCTGAGTTCATTGTGATTTCCTTCCTCCTAGAAAGGCAGGTAGTTGGGGTCAGAGTAAGGCGTAGTACAACTCTGATTTTCTGTCCGGCTCTGGCGTTCCCAGCCAGGCTCGACATTGCCATCCCACCAGACTCAGCATATGTTTCTTCTGTCCACAAAGCACATCAAAACACCGGGAGATTGAAAACGTCATGTCTAGCCGAACAACTGGTGGAGCGTCCAGCTTTCGACAAGATTTGAGATCTGAATCCGTAGAACTTAAGGCCCGAACAGCGGTCCCTGACAAGTTTAGGAGCCGACACAACAGTCAGGATCGGACCCGAAGGCCCAGCTGCGGCTCTCAACGTTTTACGGGAACCAGGCGGTTCTTGTTACTGTCGTTTGGCTGGTTCCTGTTACCAGTTCCGGTTACGGACAACCGGCTCCCGTTGCGGCAAACACCTATTCAGAAGCGCCTCCACCTGCACAAAGCCAAATCCCAGTCCTCAAAAAGTTGATGGAGTGGATCCTTGTAGTGACAGGACCTAGCCACAGGAGGAGAGACCCGGAGGTTTCTTCAATCACTGCTCTTACGGCACCGTCTGCAGAGCCTACGAAAAAACTTGCCGACAAGGCCTGGCCTCTCATCAAGCACGTCAAGGACCTTGAAGTGTCTGGCTTCGGTCACGCGTGTTTCAAGCGTGCCTGTGAGTCCCAAAATTACATCGTCCAGCGGGCATACCAGCATGCATGCACATGTACAGATACAGATATAGACATAGACATGGACATAGATGTAGATATAGATATAGATACAGATAGAGATAGAGATATAGATGTAGACACATATGTGTATGTGTATATATACACAGATTTAAGTGTAAATGTGTAATATACATCTATATATATATATATACACACTTGTTTATGTGCGTGTGTATATATATATGTATATATATATATATATATGCTTGCCCCCTGGTTCCTGTCATGCACATATACAGGCACAACAATCTCTTTCGCAAGAATGCTTTGCAGTGGGTTGTCAACTATGCGACCCCAGCCCCACTGTGGAACAGGACTTCGCCTCTCCCTCCCTCCGTGGTTCTGCGGTTCTGCGTCCTGTTGAGGAAGGAGAAACCCTAAACCTTAAACCCTAAACCCTAACCCCCCCGTTGTGGTATGTGGTCAGCCTTCCTTTCCTCCTGTGTGGAACACGACCTGAGCTTGAGGCTCCAGGCCCCTGTACTGGAGAAGAGGTACCATCTAGGGACTGCGGGAGGCAGGGGCGGAACGCACAGCCGCACTACCATACATACATTCATACACACACACACACACACATATATATATATATATGTGGCATATACATATATACATCATCATATTGACCGCTATAACAACATCTATACCTGAATCTACATCTATACCTATGTATTCATCTACATATAATATATATATATATATATATACACATCTGTTTATATATATATATTACAGATATATATATATATATATATATGTGCATATATATATATATGTTCATATATGTGTACACACATATATATTATGTGAATATATGTGTATATATATATATATATATGTTTGGTAACCCTCCCCCCTGGACCAACCTCCGCCATGA